ATCATCATCATCATCATCATCATCATCATCATCATCACCACCACCACCACCATCACCATCATCATCAAACTATACTTCTTGGTATCAGCACTAAAGCAGCATGGAACTGTACCCACTGCAGAGTTTGCAACGCAGTTGAGAGCCAACAAGCAGCACAACAATCCAGCTTAACTCAAAAAAGCGCAGGTTCTCGTGGCAAAAGGAGTCCTGATCCTGAATGGGCAGGATTAGTCCCCCGTCCCCATCTCCAACCTCCACCCGTCCAGTGCTTTCAACTTTGCATTGCGTATCATACCCACTTTTGTTACTTTTTTGAATTAAGAAATCCTATGCAATTACGAGGTTTTTTATTTTTATTTTATATCATGGATCCGCATTTTACTTTCTTCTAGTTCTTCCTACGAAAACCTCCGATCTCTTCTTTCGGAAGCGTTATTTCGAGTGCCATGAGAGAGAGATATATACAGTACAGTACTGTATATAGAGTATTAAGGGGAGCCTGTTAAGAAGCTAAAAGTAAAGGAAGACGACCGTGAGCTGTTATCACTTCGAGCTCCCCTGCCGGCAAATAATAATTGCAAAAAGCAATAGAAAAAGAATTTGCTTTAATCCGTAAACAGAGATAGGGATGAAAGGGGTGCACGTAAGTTTTCGACTTTCTTTGTTTTTAATACAGTACAATAGTTTCTAAGGTGCCACTTGGTTTATATCTCCTTTTTTTATTCCTTGATTCTCCCCTTTGGATTTCGCCGGATTTATTTATCCTGTGCTTGTGTTCTATTCCCGCCAAGCTTCGTCCGATTTAAGAGTTTTCAAGGCGAGATTTTTCTTTTTAAAAAGGTAGCCGACCAGGGGATTCGAACCTCCGTCTCCTCAACCCATCCACCGCTCCCACGACTCAAGCCGCTCCCCCTCGATCCGCCGATGGGCGAGAACTAATCGAGAGGGACGCACTGCTTGGCCAATGAACGTTCGGCGCCTGGCTCTCCGCCTGGCCAATGGGCGCCAGGAAGTCGACCTTAGGCCCCACCCACACCTCGGGGCTGAGAGTTGGGCGAAGAGGCGTCGGCGGCATGGCTGCGGAGGAAGGCGGCGGGCCCGCGGGCGCCCCCGCGTGGCTGCCCCCTCGAGCG